CTGGTCATATGTCAGTGTCCCACAGTTGCATATGAAAAAAAATTTGCTTTTTTGCAGAGCTATCTGTTGCAACACACAGATGCTACAGTTCCATTTTACATCAGGCTGTTGATGTTTACCAAACACAATAAAAGACTACCTAATTCTATCGTAATAATTAATCACTGAATAGTTATACAAATTTAAAAGCTTATCATACCAAAACAGACATTGTCTTAAATGGGACAGTTGCTTTAAGAAATTGAAGAATTTAGCACATATTGTTTACACAGCCAAAGAGGATTTAAGTGATAAAAATACTCTTTTATCAGTGAATAAAAAAATCACAGAAGTGACTTTAACATGAGCCTCAGGTACTTCAGTATCTGCATGGCAGGCACCCAAGGCTGTGTGATGTGAGGATGCGCCACAGGCCAGCTGACCCCGCTGGCATCGAGCTCTGGTCCTCAGCAGCTGTGAGCAATTGTGTGCATGACAGCGGCAGAAAGTTAATGATAAAGAAATTAAATGGATTTAATCTTCAACAGTGCTTACAGGTGAAAATGTGCGTAATTTTCTATTTCACTCTCTGCAGATAATTCTGAGAATATTATAATGCTATGCATGATAGCAGCTGTATATGAGTTTTTAAGTTGTGTTAGGACTAATATGAAAATTCCATTAGTTTCAAAATTTACATTTTGAGGAGGGGCGTTTCCTTTGAATGAGAAGAATTGTAGGAAACAGTAAGTCTTCATGGAAGCTTTTATTTCATAAAAGTGACTTCAGATTACATTTTCCAAGGAAATGGTATAATAATAATAATCCTCACCTTAAAAACATGAGCGATCCCTCTTGAGAAAAATATAGTGAGGAGATAACTCACTCCATAAATGAAGGCTTTGAGGATGCAGGCTAGACCTCTACAGAGAACAACAGTCCAGGCTTTTGATCATTTATTTTGTCATTCCTATTTTGTTGGTACTTCCCTGATATGACATAAGAAAGCAAAAACACAAGTGCAGGTAGTCTATTTTATGTTGTCTCTGTAGAAAGCTGTACCATATCCCTGCTTCAGTTCTCTGGGATATTTCCATCTGAGTGGAAGAACTCGGCCCCTCTGTTCAATAGCTAGCTTACTAAATTAAGAGAGAGCTGCCTCTTGTTCACTTACCTCTGCAAGCAAGAATGTGCTTGTATTTTCATCCACCTGGTCTGACTGAATACCAAACCAGTGCTCTAAGACATTTAGAAAAATGTATCAATTTTTTGTCCTTTCTAGTTATTTTCTTTCTGCAGAATTCTCTATACCTGCTGAGGACATAGGACACAAACAAGTGAGCATCAGGAGAGTAGCTATTTCTGTTTGAGAAGGAAGAACAAAATTATTATGAAAAAATCTTTTCATCTGAGTCTTCTAGGCCAGTTTTTCAGACCTAGAAAATTTAGAAATATTGTGTGCTAAATAAAATTTTTCACTAAGACTTCCCAAGGTTTTAGAGTGAAAATATTTCAGTTATTTTGTAGTTAATTAGGAGTGATATTAATGCTCATGGTGATAAAATGTGATTAAATAATTTTGCAGTCAGGTACTCAGTTAAAATATGCAGAATGTGAAGAATGATAAATGCTATTTGCTAGGCAGGATTAAAGAAATAACTAAGTTTGTGACAATGACCCCCAAGGGCTTGAGATGTGTCTAACCTATTTATAACCTTTTCTTCTCCTCTTAAGAAGCAAATCTTTACTGGAAAAATAATGTAATGAAATTCAGCCTGATGTGGAGAGGTTAGTTTCAGGGACTCTTGTCCCTGCTGGCAAGTGACTCAGATGATAAATTGCCAGTACAAATCATCAGACTGATGCCTGGCAAGAACTGAAGCTAACCTTTGTCGGTACATTTTAATTAAAAGGAAAAAAATATTTTTTTTATTTCTAAGGAAGAGTGTTGCAGAAAAAAATCAGCAGAAGGCCTGAGGAAAGGAAGAAAATGGTCTAAAAGACTCCTTTGCCTCTCAGCCAAAACCAAGTCCTAATGGTAATGACGCTGGGAATGGGAGAGAAGAGAAGAAAATTACCCTGATCATTGTAACCGAAGCTTCCAGGTAGCTTGCACATAGCATTCCCCAGATTTTTGTGCACTTGTTGTAAAATTGACAAGGATCAATTCCACTGCCTCGTATTATAACAGGATGAGGGGCCCAGTCTGAAAACTTGAGAAAGAAATATTTTTAGTTTAAAGACCTGAATTGAATTCAGACTAGTAAGTGCATGAACTTCTTGGGCTCAAGCCAAGGGTTTCCATCCAGCAAAATGGAATCCATATCAAAGGAAACTGGAAGCGTTCCAGAGCTACAGGGAAATCCTACAGTCTGTTGAAACAGAAATGTTTTGTAAACATCTCAGCATTGAGAAACTCTGGTGGAGGCACAACCAAAGACCTCTGCCAGATTTCCTGAGGTCTGCTCTGCTGAGTGAGCCTTCAAGGTCTGCAGCAGCAGGTCTTCCTGCAAGAAGCTCAAACGTGAAGAAAATAAAAGTTAAAAAAAAAATATTTTCTCTGAAGGTATGGAAAACTTCGCAGTCAGGTTGCACTTTTGGGAATATCGTTTGCTTGTAAGTGGGTGTCATGGTTTGAGCCTGGCACAGAGCCAGTGCCCCCCATGAAAATTCCCAGAATTCCCACTCTTTCCGGGTCAAACCACGACACTGGGATAAAATTTTTGCGTTCCCAAATCAGCATTCACACATATAGAAAGTCCTGTCTTAGTCAATAAAAACCTAGCTGAAGAACTGGGCAAAAATAGTAGCAAAGAGGGTCCCAACTCTGTTGCTAATAAATAAAAAATGCCCTAAATATTTACCATAAGGATATGGTCTAAACAGGGTTCTGTGAAACTGAAAAAAAAGTAAGAAGATCAAACTGTCCAGATGTAATTCAGGCAGGTCTCTTGAGACCGCAAAACAGCAAATATTCAGTAAAGTCAAGCTTTCAGTGATGTTCATATTCCAGTGCTTCCCTGTTTATGCAGGCTGTCTAACCTTCTGCAGCACATAACCTATCACATTCCAGGACAAACCATCAATGTGTGAGGCTACATCAGCCTGTCAGTCTCTTTTCAAATAAAAATAAAAATAAAAATGCAATCCTTTAGTAGCACTTCAGCCAATTTCTTCAGGCACTGGGTGATTAGAAAACAGTTCTAGGTGAGATGGGTGCTTATTTTTGCTGCTGTTTTTTTCTTATTTTTCATTGCTGCTGTTGTGTTCAGAGATGAGCATAAAGAGCTATGATGAATTTTGACTGATCAAGGGAATAAGTTGAGTATGCATTTACTTTCTCTGATTAGGCTGAGTCGACTCTTTTTCATGAGTTTATTATTAGAAGGTGTGATTAGATTAGAATCTAGTTAGAATAATTAGTCTCATTTTTATCAACTTATTTCAATTAATTATTTTGTTTTATTGTATTATTCAAGCTTATATATGGAAAAATAGTATTTCTCTGTAACTTTGTTAAGTATATTACTTGATTTTTTTTTCCTAAAAGATCTCAAAATATCATTAATGTTAAATTTTCTATCTTTTTCTTTTGTTCTGTCCATTTTCCAGTAAGTCCTTTTACTCAATCGGTGCTGAAAAGGAGTGAGAATTTTGCCTCAAATGTGTGCATTAAGAAAGCCTTTCATGTCTAATATGATTTATTTAAAATATATAATTAATTCTAAAAGAGGACTTTCAACCTTTCTTTGTCACTGTTCTTTTTAAAATATTGTGAAGATCAATCTTGCATCCTTTCAAAACCAGAACTTGAAAGTCATAGGAAAGATATTAGTATGTTTTCAAAGTAAAAGATCATATTCACACCAAACTAGTAATTCATCCTGTAATGAACTCAAGCCTTTGTCAAAACCAAAATGGGAGATGTTTCTAAATGATGAAGATATCTCTAGACTAAATGCTGGCATTCAGGGTGGGGGGTTGCCTGAAAGAAGAAGTATTGACCTTCAGGACAGCTTATTCCTGCTAGCAAGGAGACTGTATCTGGGAACAGAAGCCAGAAGCCATCAGAGAGACCTCTGGGAGATGTCAGGAGCCAGAGTGCTCTCACCAGCCCTATTGGAATTAAATCCGTGAGAAGACTCTGACTTGGCCATGAAGGCTGCAACATGATGCTTATAGGTTCATGGCATTCATCGTCTTTGATGATCTTCAAAGCTACAAAGGGCTCCCTTTTAGAGAGCCTGTGTGACAGCTAATGTATGACAGCAACTTCTGTCAGCTTTCACCATTTAATGATATCCAAGTGAGAATCAGCGACAGAAACCACATGAAGAAATAAGTTTAAAATGATTAGATAAAAATTCCTGTAGTGCAAGAGATATATAATAACCCCTTACGAGTGTATTGAAGAATCAAATTGTGTCTCTATGCTATGCAAATGTGCCATTTACCTCTCTTCCTCTGAAAGGTTTCAGGAGCTTCACCCAATCTACACTGGCTGTTGGAGGAAATTCTTTAGGAATGAGCCAATACAGTCTCCTCTTCATAGTTGTTTCTACTCTTGTTTCCAGCAGCACTGTTGTTTCATGGTAGGTCCAGGCTTGGCCACTTCTGCTCACTTCTATGCACCCCTGCTCTTGTTTCACAAGGATGAAATGCAGCATCTTGCTGAGGCTTAACATCAGGTACCCTAAAATCTTTGTGAAGAGATTGGAGGCTGTGGCTTCTCATTACCTCCATAACTTCCATAACCTCCTAACTAAAGGGCTAATGCTGTCCCTGCCTAGTCTGAGAGGGAGGGATCCTCTTGTCCAGGCAGGGTACCTGACTGGAATATCCTGTGGCACATTTGTGGCTGTGGGACATTTTTATCTTTTCAAAGGAAGACACAGTACAAAGTAGACAGTGGGTGCTGATACAGAGGCACTCCTCCCCCAGTTTGTGTCCAATGAAATTAATGTTCTGAAGGGCAGAAGTGCACCCAGACTAAAAATTTAAAATTATTCATAGAGCATCTGGGGGAGATTCCTATTGTCAGTGGTTGATGTAGAGGTGGAACAAATGTCTATGACAGAGGCATATCTTTGTAGAAAATAAGATACTTTTCATGACCAAAGCTGCCAAATGTCACATCACAGAACTGGTCTCTTTCATGTCCTTTGCCATGGACATTGTGTGTAACATCAATGGCATAAGTGGTTTCTGTTGAGGTACCCCCCAATTTTTCAAGTGCCCTAAGGGGCATTTCTGAGAGCAGATCAAGTGAACATGCTGACAGCTGACTTCAGTGTGAGTACATTTCATACCAGAAAGAATGGAAAAAACAAAAAAAAAAAAAAAAAAGAAAAAGTTGAGTGCTCTGGAAAATGAAGGCTGGGTTTGCAAACTTAAAGGGCACTTCCAATAATTTGGGGAGTTTAAAATCCATGTCTCTGCATTTCAGTTACTTGGCTAAGGAATGGGGTGACTCACACTGCCTAATTTCACAAGAGAAACTCATCCATATTTATAAAGCACTTCAGACAGTTTCATGTGGAAAGTCCTGATGATGAAGTTTGCCAGTCTCCTCTAATGCTGGCCCAAGCAGAGAAAGATAACTTGCTGTTCGTGTAAGACACTCTGCCAGGTGCAGAGACACAGGTCTGTGAAGGAGATCTGATGTGTCCTACCTTGCTGATGACATACACAGGTGTCAGGATGATGCAATGTGATAACAGTTCTGTTTTTTTCTCACAATTTTCAATCTGGAAAAATGTGTACAAAAAATGCATTGCTAATCGGTTTTTAATTAAAAAAAAATTGCAAGCTATGTAGAATTAGAAATAATTCAATAATTCAAATTTTCTGATACATGTAGATAAAATAATTTGAATGGATTAAAATTAAATGGAATTAGTGTTAATTTCTTTATGGCTCCTTTACCTACCTGTAGAATAGATGTGATGCCTACTCTCACAAACATAATATTTATCTATGATTGTGATGCATTTTAAACAGCCTGTTTAAACTGCAAAAGGCGTCCATACTGAAATTAATAATTTCTCTAGTCAGTCTAGACTTAACTGATGTATGGGAAATAAGTCCAGAGGCTATACTGTGAATAGCAATGATATGTACAGACTAACTCCTTGCTCATTGAATGAGACAGGAAACAATAAAATATGGTAATTTAATTAAAGCTACATCAGAGTGCAAATGCACAAGGGATGAAGAGTCCTGCATAGCCTAGCTTAACTCCTAAACTTCCTCCTTCTGGTTTTGCAAGCTGAATATTCTTCTAACATTTATGGGGGGGTTATTTTGGTTCTTTTGTGTTTTATTTTTTGTTTGTTTGTTGGGTTTTTTTGGGTTTTTTTTGTTCATGTCATTACTATGTACTGAACCTCAGTTCGTGTTTTATGCTTCTCTGATGGTCCTCAACAGCAATCCCTGTCACTTGCAGTTCCATTTATTTAGCATGTAAAGTGGTGAATCCAGAGAAAGAAGAGGTATGACACTGCCCACAGCATCCCAACTCTTCCTGGGCCTGAGAAATGTGGTAAATATTCCTGTAGATAATGCAACCAAAGGAAATACAGGATAGTTAATATAGTTGTACTCAACATTGCAGCAACAGAACTGGAGCACTCCCACTTGTGTGAATATAGCTTACCTGACAGGAGGTTTCTTTTTTGAATAGACAATCAACAAAAGCCAGTGATTTTTCTCTCCAGTGCCATTTAGTCTTGACTACACTAGTGAATTGATGGGCATGATTACTCACTGTAAAAAAGCAAGCAAAGAAAAAAGTCCAAAACTCTAAAAAAACCCAACTCCAAAAACAAGGGCTAGATCATAATGATAGTTGATGATAAAAAGGAATACTGTGTGTCCCTCGGTGTCTTTTCTTTAGATCAGAAATTTATCCAAACCATGGAAACAAAATAATCAGGTGCTGTGGTGTGTTCTTAAGTTCGTTAGTTTGCTCCCCCCATTTTCTGTATTACTTCCTGCTGCTACCCTGCCAGTTAGGTTGCTATGGAAATGAAACTGCTCCTCCCTTGGTTTCTCTTATAAAGTGAAAGTTGTTTCCTCCTTGGGGTCAGTCAATCACTCTTTTTCTCCTCCCAGGTTTCG